TCTAAAATTAGGCCTTCTCCTGAGATAATTTTATTATTGTTTTTACTGTTTATAAAGAAGCTTCAATAGAGATGATACCTCACAGTTTCCACCCTGATAGGCTTACAATCTAAAATAATTGCTATAAGTAGGAGAGGAGGGAAGAGGAGGGGAGGGAAGGAGAAGGGAGAGGAGAGGAGAGGAAGTCAACAAACCTTGAGTCTATGTCCACTATGTTCATGCATAGTTATGATATCATAGGTCTGGCTGGATACAGATCGAGTTGGTATATAACATGTCCATTGGCTAAATTTTATTAGTTTATAATTAAAACTGTCGTGGGAGCCTAGCTATTACCACAGTTTGTTATATAAGCAGGATATCACTTTAAACTACAATACAAGGGTTTTTTTTTTGTACACTGCAGTAATCACAGCAACTATCTTTTTTTCTAAACCTGTGTTTAAAAAGTTGTGTGAGTTGGTACACAAAATCCCTTCATCTTCATGCAAATAATTTCTGGGGAATGAATAAGTTTATCAGTACTGATTATTTTAAAAAGTACTTTTTTATTTTCAGTTTTTAAAGTAAAATCCTGCTCTATCCCAGCCACAAGAGGGAGTTGTGACACAGATTTATGCACAAATTAGCTACTCATCCAGGCTGTTATGAAAATTAAGCAGGAAAAGATCAACAAAGCAGTTGGCCAAACTTAGAAGACATTATTATTATCTGTACACAACAATGTGAAGTCACAGCTGTCAGTTCTTTAGCTGGTGTTACCCTTCATGGGCATCAAGTTCTTCCTAAAAGCCTAGGATGTCATAATGTATCAGCGTAGTACAGTATATTGTATGTGCAGATCCAAGCAGTGTGTCCTTTGCAATAGACAGATGGACATTTTATCAATGCACAGATTTTCTAAGCACTAGCCAAGTTTTTTTCTTATTATTATTGTTATCAGACTGTCGTTTCTAGAAATATGACTTGATTAATTAGTTACAGTAATATTAATCAGTCATGTCCTTAAAGACAAGCAGTTTATTATGGCATAAACTTTCGTAAGCAAATCCTTGAAAGCTGATACATCATAAATTGTTAGGCTTCTAAAGTACTAGTTTCTTGGTTATTATGTTATTGTTATTATTCATTTTTCTATTAAAACCCATGCAAAGCTGATTTAAAAAGTTAATATCCAAATAACTAGTCATGCACATACATGCACACACACTTAGACATGGAAGGGGGGGGGCACTGCAAGGATTTTTTTGCCTTTATTACAAATGTACAATATATGCAATATAAAATACATAAAAAACAGGAGTAATCCCAGAAGATTTTTAAAAGCAGGAGCCAGGTTTTAAAGCTGGAAAAAAAACCCACAGTTCAGTACTATGTATCAGCCAGTACACATGATCACATAAAACAAATCATCCAAAGACACCAGTAGCAATATTTTAATGGCTTTAGTTGTCATGCTTTCACTGTTTCAATTTGTCTTTACTTCTTTCACTCTTTATAAGGACATGGAATAAACCATACTAAACTGTGATAACACAAAAAAAGATCCTTATGTTCTTATCTGTGTACTATTAAAAATCTTGTTGTCATGATCTTTAACTGGGTGGCAATTTTTGAATGAAGGTACTTCAAATGGGCTAATGTAGAGTCCAAAATCCAGGATCCATGACTCTTGAGAAAATGAAATTTGGGGAAGTTGTGGCTGTTTCAGACTGTTGTCGTGGTTACATGATCTTCATTTTCAACATGTCATAACAGTTTTCCAGCCAGTCTCATAATTCCTCACTCTATCCTCATCCAGCAGCAAGAATTGGCTCATTAAGTAGCTATTAATACAAGCAATAACTTTAAGGTACATGAAGAAAGGCCTGGATATTTTTATTGCTTTATGAGCCCCTTCTCTGGCACACACACATAAATGTATCTTTATTCCATCTTTGTTCAGGAACTTAAGGCACATACATATTGCTCTATCTTCTTATTTTTTTCCACAATTCTGTGAGATAGGTTGGGCTGAAAGTCATCAAGTGTGCTGCTGTGGTTGCAGATGGAGTCCAAACAAGAAACAAACATCTCAAATGAAAAAGGTACAAAGGGATTGGCACAAACTGAAGGGACAACAAAGTCACCTTGAACTAAATGACTCACATATACAAGCTAGGTCAGCTGATATAAAATGCCACACTAAAAATGTCTACATAGACAAATTTGGTATTTATTTATTTCAAAAATTGACAAGCACAATGTCTCTGCCTCCCAAAATAAGGTCACTGGAAATCAAGATACTATGCAAATTACAAATCTGAGTTTGGGCTTGTGTAAGATTGACCCACATGCCAATTGAGATATCATCATGGGATAGGGTGGAGCCAGGATTGCCTAACTATGACCCAGATCACTACATGGCGTCAACCTACTTTGTAAATGGGGGATCCTGCGTCTCTTTTTTAAGATTGCTGCCTTTATAGTGCCAAGGTAGATAGTATTTTTATTTGGTATGTATTTATACTTAATACTGTTCCACCAGGTCAGTTAGGGTGGGCATGCTCCCTATCCCTTACTTTATGTTGCTATCTAGTTAGGCCTAGGCAGCATGTCTCTTCTTTCCTATCCTCAAAGCCTTGAAAAACTGGCTTCTGGCTCTTCCCATAAGCATTGTGTCAGGGCATGGTTGGGCTCCAGTAAAGCTGTTTGTTGCTTTTGGGGAGAAGAGTACTGAGAGTTTGGAAACTAATATTTTTTTTTTTTTGCTGGTAATATTTATTCATTTACTTACTTATTGCTGTTTTTAAGCTATCCAGAATTACAGTGCTTAATGGGTACACTATATTACTCTAATTGAATAAAAAGATCCTATATGTTTTTAAAATAGATATGCTAAATAAATAACAGTAAAAATCACAACATAGTGTACAACTGCACTACTATAATTTAAACTGATGTCAAAAATCATTCCAACTTCATAAAGATTGTGAATGAAGAAGAATTTTAAAGACCTTTCCAAATCTTAGGAAATGTGCATTCCAAATGTACTTTGAAAACATGAGGCAACCATTCTGACATGTAGAAATCCTGATTACAGAATAGAACTAAGCATATAGGAACATAATTTACAAATGTACAGTTCAAGTAAGTGATCTTTCTGTATGCCCCATTCAGAAAGTTGGCATCAGCAAACAGTAAGTCTTGGCAAGACTTCCAAAGACCCAGCCAACACAAAGATTGGCAGGCGGAAGAAAGAGAAATAAATTGGGAAAGGTGAAGGGCCACACAAATTGCTCTAGTCTGGATCTCAAAGAAACGCAGAAAGCACAGTCAGGAAGGACTGCTAACAAATTACTAATAGTCCAAACAAGATACAAGAGACAGGAATTAACTACTTGACTGTGTCAGTGATAAGAAATGGTTGAATTCTTTATATGTGCAGTAGATAAAAGTGGCAAATTTCTTATGGCTTTACAGTGTCTCTCATTAATAAAAAAACTCCAAATTTCACACTGGCAGCAGACATTCTTAAGAAATAAAAGAAATGGGACAAGAAAAAAAGGTGATGAAGATGAAATACAATGTTAGAGGCTAATCCAGCAGCACCAATGACTAATAGTTTGCCTTAACAGTGCTGAATGAGTAGAATGCCTCACACACACAAAAAAAAATGATTCAAATGGGCCAATCAGATTATTTACTGGCAAATTACAAAAAAAAAAAATTGAAAGGGATCAACCTTGCTCAATAATTTTCTACAAAAACAAAAGAGAAGACAATGAACAAAAACTAGAACAAACTGACACATGCAAAGATTTAAAAAAAAGAAAGTGACATTACACGAATCTCAGAAATTCTGCAAACACCCCCCCCCCTTCAACAACCACTGACTTGTCTAGTGAAGAACAGCAGAAAAAAAGAAATAACCAAAAAGAAGTAAAATGCATGTAATATAGGGAACCTCTGAAGCTACTTGGTTACCATTAATTTCATACCTGGAGACGTCTTAATGAACAATTTAGCAATAAAAGCAATATATAGGTCCTGAATAGAAGTAAATGCCTGGAGCATTTCAATTTTTGACACCATATATCTTCCAGAGTCCTAAGATCTAGTAATGGGAATTAAGAGAAATAAAGAGATAGACTGAAACAAAAAGCTGTCTAGAATTTAAATTTTGCTAAGAACATTGTTTGGCTTGAAAATAAATGGATAAGAGCTATATGAAAAAAAATCCTTACTACCTGTGTCCTTTTTATATTTCCATTCTAATGTCCAAATGTTTGAATGTCAGCAGTTTAAACATTTCATATATCCGGAGATAGTCACTGATGGGGGATTATTTTTAAAACTTTGCAAAGACTAGAGTCAAAAAGCCAACTGCAGTGGCCATTGTCAGGAGTTTCTAAATCAAATGAAGGCCAGTGAAAATAAAAGACAGCCAATACAGTATCACAAGCATCAGAAAATGACTAAGGAACCTAGATAGATCTAATCAAAACACGCTGATAAGTTAAAGAACAAAAAGGCGTACCTTGAAAAGAAAAATGTACAATGAAGTGGTCACGTTTGGTTTCTTTGAATGAATCATGAAATGTGGACTAATAAACGTGTAACCCAAATTAAGAATGTTGTCAGGAGAACATATGAGAAGAGTCCCTAATGACCTTAGGTCAAAAGAAATTTGCACTGAAGGAACATCCTTATTAAAGTTAAGTGAAATACATTAATATTAAAAACCCCAAGCAGAAATAATAGAATATCATAGAATAACATAATGAAAAATGGGACCCGGATTAAATATAAAGAAAATAATGCTAATGACAACAGATACAGCAATGAGCCTTATGCTTGAAAATAAAAATATCAAAGTGGTAGGTAGCTTTTGCTTTTTAGGTTCTACTATCAATAATAAAGGAACTAGAAAAAAAATACACTGCAGACTAGCACTTAGTAGCGTAGCCATGAAATTATTGGAAGCGATATTTAGATGCAGAGTAATTTCTATAGCTTACAAGTATTAGAATCATACAGGCAGTAGTTTCTCCTGTGACATTCTGCTGAAGTGACAGTTGGACTTTTGAGGGAAACTGAAAAAAATGAGGAAGAGGAAAAGAGGCAGAATTAGAAACAGAAGCAGAAACAGAAGCAAGGTTGATGGACTAATGGCAATGGGTATACACTGGGGGACTTGTGGCACCAAATTGGGAACAAATTAATTCTGGAGAAGGTCTATCTGTGTTATCACTATCATCATTTAACACTGACCTGATGGTACATAATCAGTCAGTCAGTAAGTAAGTCAATCAATCAATCAATCAATCAATTCTACTTAATATATTTTATATAATATTTATGGTATTGCCTTGCTTCAGGTTTCACTACAATTGCAATAGAAATGAGTAACTATAGGATAATTATCAGTTTTCTGCATGTTAACTGTTCTCAGTGGCTCAAAAGCAGAACAAAGTGGCAATCCTTTTTGTCTTTACACTAAGCCTCATGAGCAAACAAAATAGAATCCACAAGCAGTGAGTGGTGTGAGGTCATCTGGATCTCCTCCCTGTTTACAATACTCAAATTGCCCTTAATCACTCTGATGAGCAATTGGGAGCTCAAATGCTGTATGCAGCCACCTCTAAGAACTTTTGTGCTCTCTTCAGTCCCAGACTCAGCTGTTGTTAATTTTCAAAATACAAATAGTAGGACTTCTGCCATATTCTATTTAGGGATTATTTCTGTTGAAACAAACTTTGTTGATTGTTATTTTGTTGTTTTAATGTATACTGCCAACAGTCTCAATATAGGGCAAAAGATGGTCAATTTCTAAATACTATTCAATCAATCATGTAACAATCAAAAATGGTATTAAGACCAGTAAGAAGTTATTATAGAATTATTATTATATACACAAAAATTTGAAACATCAGTTCTTAGTATTGGCCTTCGTACACATCAAGTTCTTCTCAAGAACCTAGGATGTTGTAATGTATCAGCTTGTATATGTTCAGAGCCAAGCAGTGTGGCCATTTTTTTCTCCAATAAAAAATATTTCATTTTTTTAAATCATTCAATTCTGATTTTCAGATTTCAATACTTTGTGATTTTTTTCAATTATTGGTCTTCTACTATCTTCTGGTATTGCCATATCAATTATCCACACTTTTCAGCCACAGTTAAATCTGATGTGTTATGATCGAAGACTTTATCAATTAGTATTTGGAAATCACATGATATTTTAATCTGCTCATTTTGATGACTTTTTCAGTTCTCTGTTTCCACCAGTTTTTCAGTACTGGCACATGATAATTTTTATAGATGTTCCAGTGAATCATTTTGGCAAGTATGTTACATTGTTGTGCATAATTTCTGTAGTTTCTTGGTTGTATTAGTTTGAATAGCTTGCTCTTGAGCAACCAAAATCAAGCCTTCCGTTTGTTTATTTAATGTTCCAGGTTCAAGCCATTGTCAGATTTTATCTCTCATCTCTCTCTCTCTATTTATCTATCTCTCTCTCTCTCTCTCTATCTCCTTTATAATTTTTATAAATAACCCAAGGCAAACATACCTAATACTCCTTCCTCCTCCAATTTTTCCCACAACCACCACCCTGTGAGATGGTTGGGCCGGGAGAGAGTGACTGGCCCAAAATAACTTGGCTGATTTTCGTGACTAAGGTGAGACTAGAACACAGTCTCCTGATTTCTAGGCCAGTACTTTAACCACCACCCCAAATCCCTCAATCTTTTGTAGAAATTGACTGTAATGGGTTTTCTTGCAAGCATTCTGTTCTTGTTTTTATTACATTATTTCAGTTATTCATATTTTGTTTTCTGCACATTCAGTAAGTTCAAATTTTAAGTTACAGCAATGCTTGTCATAGCTGTCTTTTTCTTAATCAGTCAATGCATGATTTTCTTTGACAGTATGTTTGACTTGAAGCAAACCTCTGCCTCATTTCTATGGAGTAGGTATAATCTATCAATATGCCCTATGGAAATTACATCAAGTCTGGATGAAGATCCCTACAGATACATGGGCATTCTTGAAGCTGAACATATTAAGTACACTGAAGTCAAGAAGAAGGTTAGAAAAGAATACATCATGACCATGAAGATCTCAGAGCGCAAACTCAGTAGAGAAAATACCATCAGGACATTAACACCCAGGCAATTCTAGTCACTGAATACACAGTTGGAATAGTGAAATGGATTCAAGTAGAATTAAAAATCCTGGATTGGAAGATGAGAAAAATAATGACAATGAATCATGTCTTTCATCCATGCAGAGATGTTGACAAATTCTATTTGCCAAGGATCATAGGAGGGCATAGAATATTGCAAGTACACTGGACAGTTGAAGAAGGAAAAAGGGTATTGGAGCTTAGTACACTATAAAGATTTACTGATTACCAGACAGAACAGTGATCTTCAAGAAAGACCAAATGAAGCATAGGAAAGAGACATGGCAAGGCAAAGTATTACATGACAAATAAAAAAAAAACTAACAAACAATGCAGATGGCTGACAATGGCTAAGAGCTGGAGAAAAAAAAAAGACAGAGGGACTAATTCTGGCTACACAAGACCAAGCCCTAAGAACAAGTGTGTACAAAGCCAGAACTGAGAAGATAGCAAAAGTCAGCAAATACCGCTTCTGCAAAGAAGCTGAAGAAACAGTGGACCATTTAGCTGCTGCAAGAAGATCACACAAACTGACTACAAACAACAGCATGACAAGCAGAAACAATGGTAAATTAAAAGAAACAATGGTGAAGTGGAGCATCTGCAAGAAATACTATTTGCCTGCTAGCAAGAAGCTCCATATCAGACACTGATATATTCCACAAACAATCCTTAGCCTATAAAGACTACACATTTGTTGCCTATAAAAGGAGGTGCAAAGTTGACTCAGGTCAGCCCAAATGTTTCCTTTACAGCTGAAACTATTGCAGTGGTACTTTTTTTGTAACAAATGCAATCTTGGCTTACCTTGGGTTTCCTCCAATAGCTCCCCTGTCAATTTTCCCACTTCAGCTACAGCTTGCCAGCATAAACCTTTGTTAGCAGCAAACACCAGGCTATAGTAATGGGCATCAAGTTTGATACTCTGACGTACTTCCTGAATTTCATCAAACTCCTTCCACCCCAGCAAATCTCTTAGATACAGGCGACCAAGCTTCTGCTGAAAAAAACACCAAGCAAGAAAAGCTGTTAATATGTGGCACTGCTTCATATTATGGAAGAATTTAAAAAAATCATAGACCAATATGCAGGATCAAATTTGCCCAGCGTTCTATCCCAAAAAGAAGCCAACTAGTTTGCTCTGAGAAGCTTACAAATGCAACAGCTCCTATGTGGCTATTTCCACTCTGATGACTTATAGCACCTTCCATTTCAATCAGTCCTTGTTGTACCAATATATTAGCAATGAAAACAGCTTTTATATCATCAAACCAATGATGTTATAAAATGTGAAAAATCATTATATGGGAATGTCCTATAGCTATCATGAGTAATAGCTACTGATGCTGCATTATTCTAACTTATTTTTTTATAGCTATGGCTTGTTTGTGAAGAGACAATATTGTAATAGGGTCCCTCATCCAGCACAAAATTAAGCAGGCTTAAATCTAGTTGAGTTCAGATATTGCCTTAAACCAATCATGGTTTGCTAACTAGCCCATATAACCTTAGCTCAGGGACTAGAGATGCTGTTGAAATGTAAGAACATAAATTTCAGGTTTCAAAATGGTATTAGGAAAAGCATTCTTAAAACTCAACTTTCCTGTGACTCTGCAGAGCTTTTTTTTTTTTTTTTTTTAATTAAACCCTGGAGAAGTGGTTGTTATTGGTGGCATGAATGGTAGTGATATGTGCTTGGGTTCCTTTAGTCAGTGGGTGATGAGTTTTATTAAAATAGTGTATGGAGTCTTGAAGGTGGTTTTGAAATTGAAACATACTCTGTTCAGGAGCTGATGTTTGATGCAGGGCCAATGTAAGATAATATACTGTGACATAGAATAGGAGATTTATAGGTCAGCTTATAGTAAAGAGACAGATCTTTGACTTGAAAAATATCCCATGATGGATGCACTCACTCTGGCACAGCATGAGAAAAGGTCTGTTTGAAAGTCCCCATTTTAAAGATTGGAGTGAAATGGCTGCAGTTATCGCAGCAGGACAACTGGTGGCTGTAAAGTACCAAAGCTTCATCAAGAGAAGATGTATGGTACTGCTGCAATGAAAAGAGTGTTTGCCCCTTATAGTTTGAGCACTGGACTTCTGCATTTACAGTCAAGGTCCCACCTGGTCAGTTTATTTTGGAAGATTATCTATTGACCAGCTACCAGGTTTGCCTATAGGGCTATCTACTGGACTACTTGCTGGACTTTCTGCTGGTCTGCCTGCTGGGTTATCACTGTTGACAGAGGAGGGAAGTCAAGCCTAAGGCGATGACTTGTGAAGTGCCAAAGGGTCAATGATCTCATCCCTCCTATTTAATATCTACATAAAGCCACTAGGTGAGATCATCCATCAACACAGGGTCAGGTATCATTGGTTGTATATCTCAATTCTACTTCAACCAATTGACACTGTCAAGGCTTTGTCTAAGGGCTGGAGGCTATTGTGGTCTTCAAGAAGAGGAATAGGTTTATATTCAATTTGACGTAACTAAGTGATTTGTAGAAGAATTCAGCCTGAAAAAGATTTAAGAGATGTGGAAGTGCATTCTGAATTGTAGATCCTGCATAAATCAGAGAAGTGAACTAGATTAACTTTTAATATTTAAGCTATAAAATTCAACCATAGAGACCTTATAATCCACCATAAATATTGCTTTGCAAAACACAATTGCTGGGATCACACAACACAGTATTTAACAAAGATACTATGGATTAATGCACTTTATAAATAAATAATCAAATTGGAAAATACTGCCAAAATCCTAATTCATTAGTTTGATTCTGCTTAAATTGGACCACTACAGATTATGGACAATAATAATCAGTTTTTAAATATATATATAATATTCACCATCAAAGTCATAATCAAACTGGAATTGCTTAAAAGCAATTTGTCATTTCCCTCCCAATGATGTTGTTGCAGTATAATTATATTTTTATCATTGTGATTTTTGGGGAAAAAAAGCTAAACCAAAACAAAATACAAATGGAAACTTTAGTAAACAAAACACAGGTTTAAATCTCCACTTTGCCATTGAATATGTGAACTTACTTTAAATCAGTCACATTCTTTGTCTCATGCTTTTGCCCAAACATTCTCAAACCTTGCCCAAACATGCTTTTGGACAATGTTTGAGGCTGCACAAGAATGGGGTGTGCTCTCACACAGCCTCCGGACCGCCTGGAAGATACACAAGTGGGCCATGCTCTTATATGACTTTTAGAGCCTCCAAAAGACACATAAGAATGGAGATGTGCTTTTGTGTAGTTTTTGGAGGCTACAGAGCATTCTCCAAAGCCGCTTCAATAACGAAGGCCTTGTACAACCTGGAGCAGCCTCGGGGCCTTTCAACAGAAAGAAACCACCTGAAGGTAAGTGCTATATGGCAGACCCTAGGAAGTAGTGGGCCTTGAGTCCCTTGCTCTCTACTTCAGGCCGATCCTCAGTGCTGCCACTGAGTATCACTACTCAGGGTGGCCGGGGGGGGGGGGCTAGAAAATTGATTCACTTTTGTTCATGTGTGTGTATGGGGGGTGGAGAGAGAAGCCGAGTCAAAGATTTTCTGAATTTCTGACATGCCAAGCCCAAAAGGTTTGTCATCATTGGGTTAGAAAATCAAATGTCAAAACAATCCAAGAATACAGTAATTAATTTCATTGTTCTTAAAGAAAAACAGCTACCATCAAGTTCATCCACTCCCTTTCTCATATATCAGCATATAAAATCCAGTGTGAAAAGCCCCTCTCTGGATTTAAAATGTCAGTATCAGAACACGTTGTAACAGTCAACTGCACAGTCAGAATCTGGCTGAGGCGTCTTAATCAACACATCTCCTAGTACTTTTAAAATCAAAAAACACTGTGCAACAGCATTTTTTTAAAACAATGTTTTCTCGGTCAGAATAAAGTAAAAAAAAAAAAACAGTGAAGAAAAATGAAAATTTTACAAATGCAAGCCTTCAAGATTTCTCCAGGAAGAAGGCAGGAAGGCGTCTGAAGCCTTATTTAAAGGAATGGAACTTGGCAAACTACGATATATTTCACCAAGATTTTCTGGGGCTCTCCCCTCCCCTCTACCATGATCACCTTAAACGTTTACCTCTTATTTTTTACCTGCAACTGAAGAACAGCTTTAACACTCTCCGCAGTCAAATTGGCCATCCTTCCTGGATTGGTTGCTAGGAGACACTGGCTTACGATGCAAAACCCTGGAAGAAAAGGTTCTGTTACAAGGACACACTTGCATACTCTTGCATACTCCCTTCCAGAGCACAGCTCTTATGGCAGCCCAGTCTTAACTTTTGTATCTTACATTAAACTGCCCATCAAAGGGTCCAGTAGAGATAAAAAGTCCACTTTTTCAGTTACACATTTATGAAATACTTAGATACAAATATATGGGAGAGATTTAAAATTTTAGTGACTTACCTAGTGTCCCATGGGCATGATTTATGAGCCCCTCTGTGATACATATGCCACCAGTCACAACTGATAGCTTCAGTTAGGATTTGAATGCCTGGGCCAGATTGCACACGATTTGAGAAACATGCACAGAAGTTGATTTTGTGGCTCTTGTACATAAATGCCACTTCTGTCTTCAACCCTAATATTTCTATTTTGAAGATTAATTGCAGCTATTGAACATTGTAAGAACACTATTCAATGGCTCTTGTTAACTGTTTTTGCAAGATTTAGACATAATTCCTACTGAATTAAACAGAAAATTCTGAGTCATCAAGTGGAAGACTGGGAAGGTCTTGTGCCTGTTATTGGAATGGCTGATCTGGTTCGGTAGCACCTGAGATTGTAGAGAAATGTAGACACCTCAGTGCTCTTATACATTACAAAAAAAAAAATTCTCTCACTAAATAACAAGCAAAACACAACAGCAGATCAGAAAACAATGACGTAATCTAGGGTTTGAGGCCAGAGATTTTATGTTTGTTTTATGTAATGGAATATTCCACAATATTCCAAAATGCAACAATGTGGGCAGCCTACTATTTGGAGTGTGTGATGTATTGGTTGCTACTATGTTTCTGGGTTTAATTCAATGTGCTGGTTGTCACCTTTATAGCCCTTCATGATTTGGAGCTAGGCAGTGGTGGGATTCAAATATATGAACAACCGGTTCTCTGTGCGGATATCGCTTCTGGAAGTCCATTCTGGGCCTGGGCAGCAAAAAATTAGCTACAGTTCTGCCGAAGTGGTGCAAACCAGCTGAATCCCACCACTGGAGCTAGGTTACTTGCAGCACTGCCTCTCCTCAGTTGTATTTACCTGTCCTGAGCCAAAAGGAAAGGAATGCTCTGGGTCCTGCCCATTAGGGAGTATCATCTGGTGGGACCCAGAAGGAGAGCCATTTCTCCTGAGACATTCACACTCTGGAATATCATTCCCCTAGAGTTTAGACTTGCCCCAATCCTGCTGTCTTTCTGCAAAACTTTGAAGATTTGGTTTTGTTTTGTTTTTTTAATCCAAGCCTAGGGCTCTGGGCATGTAATTCCAATCACAGCACTGGAAAATCTTTTATGACTACTTTGTAATTCTAAAAGATGGCAGGAATGGGGCATCTGTGAGGGAGAACCAGCAAACAGGAGAGGCTGTTTAACTTTTCCCTAGCGTATACATTTCCTTTCCTATTATTTTACTCATTCCCCCTCCCTCCCCATATTAGGGAAGACTGAGCAGAGGAGCCAAAATGTGATGACCTGAGGAAGGAGGAAAAGCAGGCACAGGAAAGGTTACATAAGGTCACATGTGATGTGACATCGCCACACAAATGACATGATGTGAAGTTGTCATGACATATGGCATCCTTGTGCCTTATATCTGACATTTATGTTCTTATCCATGCTTTCTTTGCCAATCCTTATGCTGTTTCAAGAATCACAAATTATGAATTAACACTTTAAAAAGTAACTTCACCCTAACTGTGAAATTCAAGGCAGCCTTATAACATCTCTTGGCCTAAACCTTTGTCTGCAATAATGAGATACAATGCTGACCTAATAGGCAGGGGTTAACAAATTATTTTGAGAAGTAGCACCTTATGTTATTATATGCAAATTATACAGATAAAGATATCTTTCTTTTTCTTATATAACTATTTTTTCTAGAACCAGAGCTGATATCATTTGGCATCAACACATCATCAACATTATTTTGCCACCTGCAGTACCACTACAGCTACTTTCGTATGCTAACATCAACATCATCTTCATCTGGCCCTGTAAACTGCAGCTTTTTCTGTTAAGCAGACAGGTCTAAAATCTCCTGGCTAAGCAGGTTTTCAGATTAAGCAAGCTGATTTTCCTCAGTCAGGAGAAACTGGGATCTTGAGCAATGCTGAAGCAGCTCTAAAAGATATGACCAGCAGCATTTCCTAGCTTAGATTTCATGGGCAAATCCAAAGCCCTGAAGCCAAAATTGTCCCATGATAATCACCCAGATCCTACTCTATTGTATACAAGGTCCCAAAGATGCTTTTTCACAAGGCAGCTGACTTTCTTGTTTTTTTGTTTTGAAGACATTTTGCTTCTCATTCAAGAAGCTTCTTCAACTCTGGCTGGATGGTGGGGAATGGAAAGATTTATACTCCTGCAACAGCTGTTCATTTGCATTCTTTTAGTGAGTTGTTAAAGCTACCTATCTGTGTCTTCAGGGTCACCTGAGTAGTGCAAATGGATGTGGAGCCTTCTTGGAACTGTTGAAAAAACTGTGTTGTAGACTGAAGATAGATGATGCCGGATCTCTCCCCCTCTGTTGAGAGAGGGCTGTTCAATTTTGAACAGAGGGAGAGGGATAAGAGTCGCCTCGTGAAAGTCCAGTTGCCTCGTGAAAAATCATCTTTGGGATAACTATGACCTGGATGACTGAGAATCTCCATAGACGTATACAATAAGAGTTGCAGGAAAACAAACTTGGCGTTAACACTTTTTTTATTTAAAAAGTTTTTTATTTATAATACAATTAAAAAAAAGAAAACATTGGACGTGACGTAACATTCCAGTTTAAACATTTCTATCAAGTTATTTCTCCTCTTATATTCAATTCTTTGTCTCTATAGATATATATAAACTTTTTATACAATACTTATTACATTTTCTCTATTTGCTAACCTAAGAATATATAAATTTCCAATTGCTAATTCCAACAGTCCTCCTCGATTCCCACCAATGGTACAATTTATCCCAGATTTCAGAATATTTTGATCCACTTTTATCTTTCAGTTCTATCATAAGCCTGTCCACTTCAGCACAAGGTAGTATTTTATGCAGTATCTCTTCATCTGTGGGAGTTTCTTTGTTCTTCCATTTTTGTGCAAATGCCAGTCTAGCAGCGGTCAAGATGTGCAACATCAAATAGACTATTCCCTTATCGTATTTATCTGTGATTATACCCAATAGAAAGAGTTCAGATTTTAGCTCTATCGCCAACATTAATATTTCTTTCAACCATTTTCTTATTCTATTCCAATAATCACAGGCTTCAGGACATTCCCACCACATGTAGTAATAGCTCCCTATTGCTATTTTACATTTCCAACATATAGGTGAAAGATTTGGGCCCATTTTAGCTAACCTCGTGGGTGGGAAATGCCATCTGTAAAACATCTTATATAGAGATTTTCCTTATAAGAAGTAGCTAAGGTGAGTTTCCTGTTTCTTTCCCACAATTCTTGCCAGATATGCAAATCAATATTAAAGCCGAAATCCCTACTCCACATTAACATAGTTTCCTTAACCTGCTCTTCATATATTGTCTGATCTAGGAGGTAGTGGTATATTTTTGTAATCATTTTATCTTTGGTTCCTAATAATATTTTGTCTAGCTCTGTCGACTCTGTTTTTATACCCCGATCTTTTTTATCTTTCCTATATCTTGATTGCAATTGGAGATAAGCCCACCATTCCAGTTCTATCCCTTCATCCTGAAGATTTTTCCTTGATTTCAATTCTCCTCTCTCGTCTAGTATGTTTTTATACGTTATTACTTTCCCTAGTTGTATGAACATTGGATGTATGTGCATTTCCAATGTTGAAATCCAATTAGGAATTTGCATATTATTTTGTCGCCTAATTTTAACTCACACATCTATTAATGCTCATCTAATATAATGCCTCCGGAAGTACTGGTGAACCTTATATTTCTCATCCCATAATATGGTGTGCCACCCAATCTGTATATCATGGCGTTCCAATATTAATAATCTCCTATTTTTTAATTGTATCCAGTCCCACACCCATATTAATATTGTAGCTTGATAATAGTTTTCCAAATCTGGGAGACCAAATCCGCCCCTCTCTTTTAGAATCTTGCAATAATTTTAATTTAATTCTTGCTTTTTTTCCCTAAACTTGGCATTAATACTTGATGTGACTACAAAATACTGATTGCATTGTGATACCACTTTGCATTCTTTCTTATCTTTATTTGCTTTCTAAATTATTTAATCTATCCAATTGTCAGAGTTTTATTATTTTTTAAAATATACAGCAGTGACCAATCACAGGCAGCTGGACATAATTTTATTCTGCTTTATAAGATTTTTTTTTTCAATGGTACTTATGGTACTTATGCTAAATAAGCTATACTGTATGTCTCTCCATCTTCCCATGCCCTAAAGGAGTGTCTTCATACAAGTTCCACCAAATGATATTTCTCAGTCTAGATTTATCTATACTTATTTACTTCATTCCTGGAGGAACGTTGTCCATGGGGTCGCGATGGGTCGGACACAACTTCGCAATTAACAACAACATTTACTTCATTATGTTGACATGGTGATACAGAATCTTTGATAGCACAGGTATGGGAAAGAATTTCTGGACTATATTTCAATTTTGATGTGGCTTAGGATGAGAAGGATACAACCCCCTGCAATACTTCCAAAAGAAGGACATTGTTTGAATTCCCCTTTTCTGTTTGACTACTCAGTTCTAGGTAAGGGCATCATGCTGCCACTCTATATTTTAATTCAAAAGTGATTCTCCTGATTAGTGAGTTATATCCAGGACAGTGTGTGTCATGTGTGTGTGTGCATTTGTGTATTTCTTCCATGGATTACCTTTCATTGTCAAAGTCAAAAACTTGAATAACTGAGGTTAAGTGAACCATGGGTTAATATATTCTGCAATTGCATTTAATGTCATTCAAGGGAGCAAAATGCTGAAGCTGAAAATCCAATCAGCAGTACTGG